ACTTCCTTTAAGTTCCTCCCGTTCATGGTGACTGGAGTTTGTTGTTGTTGTTGTTGGAGTTGTTGGTGCGGTATCTTCATCACTTCTGTCTTCTCTATATTCACCTGAAGTCCCGTCTTCGCTGCCCTGCCTCTTCTGCCAACTTCTTAGTTTTTGCCTGTACATCTTCAAGTTTATGTGACATCAGGCACAAGCCATCGTTGGCGAAATCCAGATCTTCTAGGTTCTTTTCCGCAGTCCAGCCAGTGTATCGTCCTCTTCTCACTCCTCACTGTTTGCTGCATGATCCAGTCCAGGCCAGTCGAACACAATCAGGAATATCATGGGGGATAGTAGGCAACCTTGTTTCACTCTTGTCTCCACTTCAGAATCATCACTGAGTTTCCCATTGTGAATTACTTGGCATGTGGTGTCTTCATATAGTTGTTGAATGAGGAGGATAAAGGTTTGCGGTACTCCGTAGTAGTGAGGCAGCTTCCAAATTACTTGTCGGTCGACGCTGTCAAAAGCCTTCTCAAAGTCGATGAAGTTGAGGTAGAGAGCTGATTGCCATTCTATGCTCTGTTCTATGGTGATGCGAAGCGTTGCAATTTGGTCTGCACATGATTTGTACTTCTTGAAGCCTGCCTGTTCCTTTTTTATTCTTGGTTAGAATAATTCATGTTACAACTGTATTTGAATTCCAGTTATGCACATATATGAGAAAACAAACCATCTTTGACATTGACTAGTACGATGTAATATATATCTTAGTGATAAGCGCTTGCTCATTACCTTCTAACTATACAAAGGATTTACGTCTACTCATCTTCCCAAGCACTAATTAAGCAATCTCCTATTAGGTAGCGGTAGTTTTTAGAAATTCACGTTTATTTCAAAGTTTATTGTCAATGCAAAATGGTTGGGAATATTTTAATTTCAAGATATGGATGCTTACATTGACCTGTCTTAATTAGGGTTTCGCCAGGCAAACGTTTTAGTGTCATCCTAGACTGCATTCCCACTGTATCAGCACCTCACGAGTAACATTACAATGAGGGTTACAGATGTTATATATATATATATATATATATATATATATATATATATATATATATATATATATGTATATATATCTGGTACATCGGAAGAACAACTAGAATTCCTGAAGTCCAAACTTCTTATCAGAAATAAACAAACCAAAATACACCAGGGTAGATAAAAAGGAATCACGTCTAAGTTAAGGATTCAATGATGACAGCAGATGACATTCTGAAAGGTCGATTAATGAAAGCCGTTAGGAGAACGCTGTATACTGCAACTCTATAAATCACATCTATGCGAAAGGTGGCTGCTTCAGTGTGTATACATATCAGCTCGTCAGCTCCTGTGCAGCTAGTTATATAGGCAGTATGCAAAATCAGAATCATAAACGTTGATGTCAAACTTTTCTACATAGGATATTTAATTATTTAAATGTGACTATACAGCATTTTAAAATGATGATAGAGAAAACGAATTTGCTTACTGACGTCTTTCTTCCTCGCGAAAGATACTACTACTGAATAGCTTAAGTAGTTAGAAACTACTCAAGTTGATCTGTAGATTTTGACTGCTAGCCATATATGAATCATTCAAACACCGGACAGCCGTTTCACTTATTTGCAGCTGAGATTATCAGAGCTGTGCGAGAACAAATTCAACTCATAAAGTCGAATTACTTCAGATCACCTAAATTTGTCTGTCTTGAATACTTAAAATAGGATGATCAGTTTGCAAGTGATTTACAAACTGAATAATACACAATGATACTTCTCGTAGTTGAGTAGTTTTTCAACTGTCCAACTGTGGTATCAATAGCCTTTCCACTGAAAACTACTCAGTCATGATCAAAAGGTGTAATCTTTAACACAAAGTGTCATAAACCAGCGGAATATAGTACTACTGAACAACTTGAATAGTAAGAAAGCACTCAGGCTGATCACACCTTGTGATCTTAGGAGAAAGTTGGTTGGTTTCCGACGGAAACCGTGATGACACCCTACTTGGGCAGCTGGAAAACCATTTGACCGTGAGAAATATCAATGTAGGTTGTGCAATTTGTTAACCATATGCATATTAATCATCCTGTTCTGATGTCATAAATTTCAGGATCGACATTTGACCTGATCGAGTTAAATAAGTTGAGCGTCAGGTAAACAGATTATCAATGAAATATATTTGACAATACTAACTGATTCGTCATCATTTACTACGTAAACAGTCGATAACTTGTAGAGGATTTACTCTCTGATGAAGTGATTTCCACGAGGTCACGAAATGTCAAAAACTAATTTTTCTACTTAAATGGAATTCTATAAAAATATTCCATTTACCATGGAATGGGATATTTTTATCAAATTCCAATTGAGTAGAAAAATTAGTTTTTGACATTTCGTGACCTCATGGGAATCGCTTCATCAAAGAAAAAATCCACAACAACTTATCGTGTGACTTAATAGTAAATGGTGATAAATCACATCTCACAGTCTATACATGATAATATATATTAGTATTATTTATCCTTACGGGGTTCCTAGTACAACATAGGGCTTCAGCAGCAAATTATCATTTCACTCTCTTATCTGTAGTCTTCTCAACACGGCTCCACCACTGCCCCCCTCCCCCCAAGCTTTCGTTTCTTCCTAACATGATCTCCTCCATATCACCATCAGCTCACACGACCAACTCGTCGTTTCCCATTCAGCTTCCACTTGAATGCCTGGTATGGCCTGATTCGTGATGTCCCCAAATTGTCTTCTCAATCTATACCCAATCCAATCCAATCCATCTCAACTTTCCTCTCCTACATATTTGTTGGATGATAGCTTCCTCGTTGGTTAATTGCTTCGTTGCCAGTCAGAGTGAGTTCCTTGTTGCATATTCTCATTATTCTGGTCATCTGATCTGATCTTCAGTGTCAGTATGGAGTGAGCGTAGGTGGCGACAGCTGTTGATCACGTATGTCTGTATTTTGTTGGAAGTGCTTTTCGTAACACACCAACTCTCTCAACCATCCATCACACAGAAGCACTGACTTACTTGACTGACATTCGTGATGAAAATCCATATGTTGTTCACGCTTTATGCTGTGTGGAGTGGAGTGGAATGCAGTACAGTGCAGTGCAGTAGATCTCCACACTGACTTCAGATTAGTGAAGGCCTGTATTGCTGCCTTTCAGATCCTGGCTGCTTTGACATCCTCATCTGTGCCTCCACCACCGCCTGTGGTTGAAACGATGCTGCCTACCTAGGTAGAGAGGTAGATGAAAGAGACTACTTCCTTCAGATTACTCCTGTTGATGATGATTGGTGCGTGTTGTTGTTGTTGTCATTGTTGGTTGGATGTCTTCATCACCTCTGTGTTCTCTACTTTCACCTGAAAGTCTGTTTTCGCTAACTCTTCTGTCAACTTGTTGGCTTTTGCTTGTACATCTTCGAGTTTGTGCGACATAAGACATTAGATATGAATCATGATGGGTGAAATCCAAATTGTCTAGAGTCTTTTCGTCGATCCAGTCAGCGTATGTCCCTGTTCTCGCTCCTCACGGTTTGCTGCGTGATGCGGTTGACCACAATCAGGAAGATGATTGGTGATGATAGTAGGCGGCAACCCTGTCTAACTCCTATCTCCATTTCACTTTAAAGGCATCACTGAGCTTTCCATTGTCAATCACTTGTGATGTAGTATCCTAGTATATCATAGCATGTAGGTGTTGAATAAGGTTGATAAGGGTTTGTGATGCTCCACAGTGTTGAAGCAGTTGACAAGTTACTTCTCGGTTGACGCTGTAGAAGACATTTTCAAAATCGATGAAGTTGATGTGAAGAGTTGACTATCATTCTGTACTCTGTTCTTTGATGATGCAAAGCGTTGTAATTTGATCCGCACATGAATCTTTTTCCCGAAGCCAGCGAGCCAGGCAGCCTGTTCCGGTAGTAATTTTGAATCCGGAGCATCAGCATTTAGTCTTTCGAGGATGATGTGGCTTAATATTTTGTTTGGTGTGGATAGGAGCATGATTCCGCTCCAGTTCTTGCAAAGCCTTAGGTCACCTTTTTTGGGAGTTTGACAAGGTAGTCCTTCTTCCAGTCGGTCGACAGGTACCTTTCCTTCCTTCCAAACCTTCTACAGCAGTGGTGTGTGCACGTTCGCTGTTGTCTCTCCGTCTGTTTTCACTGCTTCCGGAGGCATTCCATTAGGTCCTGCTGCTGTTCGAAACTTTATCCAGAAAATGATATTGTTACCCTGTTTGACAATTCTACTAAATAGATTACAATTGAGTTACAATCTACCACAGTGCTAAGGCTTTAATCCGATTGAATTCAACCTACAACTTCACAATACCGGAACTTAGGAGACTTATCTTCGTAGTACATTTCCAGCTAATACCAAGTAGTTGGGACCAATCTGTAGAATGTTTGGATTTAGGTTTCATGCTTCTTTCAGACATGCTGTGTTGATGAGTACCAATACACATGAAAGCTAGGTCCGTAGTTTCTTGTTTATAGTCTATAACCATTTAGCATCAAGGAATATTTTCTTTCCCAACAAAGCTGTAGATAGTGTTTAGCTACACTAGTGGCTTTTATTTTCCAACGAGCTACTATACTATGCCCGTCATACAAGGAGCAAATATCGTTACCCAGTGGCCTAGTGGATAACGCTCTGGCGTCTGAAACAATCCGTGCCAGGCTTGAGTCCTGGTGGGGGCAACATCACTCACTGGGAGGTAGGTATATCCAGCTGGCGAGCATTAATTAAAACGAGGGACACCCGTCCTAGATCCCACTGCTAGACACTATCCGTTAATAATATAAAAATCGGAAAATACAGGCAATGCCAAGACATTCGCACACGAAACAAAATGTCAGTAGTGGCCAATGAATTCGGTCCAGTCATCAACAGAGATTAACAAGTTATAACACTAAAACAACATAGAAATAGTTCGATGAATGCAAATGTCTTTAGAATGTCTTACCAGTAAACACGGTAAAGTTCATAATCTTTTCATTCTCAAGACTTGAGAAAGAAGAATATTTATTTTGCAAAGTTTGTCCAGAAACCTCCTGTCCTTCAAACTTATTAGCATGTCGTGTACAACCTCCCATACGATCGACTACAGCAGCTTCAACTATACCCAGTCCAGATGATTCTATATGAGCTCTAAAGAGATTTGAAGGTGCCGACCAAGGCGATAAGTATAGTTGACCATCATTAGCGAGACCTGTCACAAGACCTAAATTTTTTTGAGCTGATACTAGTGTTGGTGCAAAAATCAGTAGATTCTGTAGATGATCAAATTTATCCCATGGACAACTGAGCATATTTTCATCTGATTTGTCATTCAACTGTTTTCCTTGTTCGAGAAGCAGTGAAAGTTGAGCCCATGTAACAGACAAACTGTTTACATCTAGACAATGAAAATAAATAATCATACTTCAGTATAAATTCCAGAGGAATGTGTTTATTTCGAAACTTCATTAGTTATAACAGTTTGTTAATAGTAATAACACCAATAATGACAGTAATAATAATAATGGCTTTATTGTGAAAGATATTTCGGGAATACTCTACAGGATTTTCAGCAAATCGTATACCATCAGCTGGACACAAACGGTGTACATGTATACGCAGTAAAATGGAATAAGTGGAAATTACATATAAAAGAGAAGAATATTTACTCCATCTAAAACTTTCCTGAAAATGCATAGTTAACATAGGTAGACAGTCACATTAGTAATTAGATTCATAACACGTAAATAACACCAAGCTGTATAATTTTTAGTGCGTTCGTTTTCAGAAATATAAGTTGATTAGTCAATTCATTTCTAACACTTCCTTTCTCGCATAGATTATGAGTTAAATACGGTATTGTACAGTTTTTGTATTTAGTAGTTCTTATATGAAGTCCTATATATATGTGCTCCTGGTCTTACCCCTACTACCGAAATGCAGAGAACATTGAGTGAAGGAGATGCTGGTCTTCTGATAAAACAACTCCTGTAAGATGTTTACATGAGTTAATATGTTTTTCCACAACAGTTTCAATTGGAACGTTTAGAGGCACATCACTAATTCTGTTGACAATCTTAAAGATTCTATGCGATATAGCATAGTCTCCATTCAGCGACCCGGGAAAGAATAGAGAAGAACAGTACAGGAGATCAGGTGAGATACAGGAGTTTATAAAACACAAAAGAAGAGGCTGAGTTATGCCAGATAATGCCAGCTTTCCAATATGGAAAGTTAGGTGGGAAATTCTTTTGGAAATTAGTAAGAAATGTGTGGACGAGGAGAAGTTCGAAGAAAGACACACCGAGATAAATCACACTTGTAACATTCTCCAATATGCAACTATCAGTAGAACAGTGATCGTGAGAACTAAACAGTTTACATAGGTTATGTTCATGTCTGAAACTGAAGTTTATAGTCTGACATTTTGAAGAATAAAGAGCCAGATCATTCTTGGAGGATCATCCTCCAGCAGTGGATAGGAAATCATTCTGTTGGGAACAATCTGTAGAAGGGGAGACAGGTATGGAAACTTTCAGATCATCAGTACATTTGACATATTTGATGAAGTTGGTAAGTCATATAGAAAGAAAGAGAAAAGACGAGGGGGGAAAGAACGGCCTTGGTAAGCAACGAGGTGGAGGGTTTTACCCCATGAAGTGTATTGTTTCCTTTCAGAGAAATACGAATACAGCTAACTGACTGTCCAGGATTTTGTGTGTTGCCCAGCGAGCTTGCCCAGCAAAAAGATGTCTTGGGGCAAACTGTTTAAGTGCCAACAGAAATACATGAATAAATAGGCAGGCAAATTTTGAATCAGCAGCCCTGTTGTCTCACTATCATCCACTAAATAATAACTAAAGGTTGCTATCCACATAATGTAATATGATTTTTTGGGATTCAAGGTGTGTTATGTTATCAAAAGCAGTTCAGTATGTTGACTATTACATAGATCTAAGTAACAAACCATAAACTTTAACCAGTTTCTAATTTCCCGTGCCACATTAGAAGCTGATTCCCACCTTATGGTTGTAAATTGAATTGTCTATTTATTAAAGTGACCTTAGAGGATTTATTATTTCTAGGAAGGTGATGAAGTTATTTGGGTGGAGGCAATCGGTAAGGAGCCGCACTCGATCTAGGTTCCACGCTTTTTGGAACTAGGTATCAAGGTGCATCTGGAACCTCGAAGGAAAGCGATATTTCCCCTAGGATTCGAAACCGTGTCACCCAATGTTACAGTCAACAACTTTAACTTTGAGTTATACGAGTAGCGATTAACCCCCGCAAGACTGGATTAGATACAGTGATTGGTCACTGGAGGGCGACCAATTTCATTTTGTCTAGTCCTGAATGTTGACAGAATCCAATCGACTATTTCGTAAAGTAGCCACCGAGCTAAGAGGTTCATCATTACAATGATGAATTATTTTTATGTCTACTGTTTACAATTATGATTATCTTCATAACGAGAAGGAAGGCTTGAACGCAGATGACATCTGTTTGGTTAAACTGCACAAATTCTAAATGGCACTTATGATCATTCTATGAAAATGATTTTCGAAAAGCTCCAGCAACCAGATATCAGGCAGAAGTAAAAGTCTGGTCGTTTGACAGAATATATCGCTTCTCATCAAAGAGCAACTGACTTAAGTCAGGAGCATTTTATGACTTTCATATTGTTCTCATATCAGTATTTTAGTCATGAACTCAAAACAAGTGCATAAACACCTTAAAACTTCTTTGTCTGTTGAGGAGTTTGTAGGTCACTGTTCCTCTCAGGGTAATAAATTATCCTTTCGTTATTACTGCATTCTATAACTCTGCAGTTTCTACCGTAGGGGATGGCTTTACTTATAATTGTTACACCGGCGGAAAATCGAGATTTTTGAAGAAAATTTACATTTTGTCAAACTGTTGACTATTTGAACAACCATTAGAACATATTTTTCCCATGGAAAAGTTACATATACGTCTACAATAATTCATAATTGGTTAATAGATTTTTATTTTGAGTGTGCAAAACTACTTGTTTAGATGCAGATTACCGTTGGTAATAAAAGATCCGAATACGGATGGTTTTTATTGAGAACAAAAGTAATCGACATGTTCTTGCTGCACCTTTACCTTCTCTTACTCTTTAGGTTGTTTCAAGATAACAAAAGAAACAGTCATATGATGTAAAAGAAAACGTTAACAATAGATTTCAGTCCTTAAATTCCAGGAGTCAGGGTTATTAAGTTCATGAATAAATATGTAGATAATGTAAATCCTGCAGGTCATTTTGAATTCCGATGAAAAGATTGATCTCAGGAGGCTTGTAGGGATTTTGATTTCATAACTTGAGAGTATCCGTCGTTAACTGGACAAAATCAGTCGGCCACTACTAGCACACAGACTTCAGTTCGGATGTCCTGATGTTTCTGGTCTTCTCAGTTTTGGCATCTGAGGTGGATAGCAGTTAAGAATATCGATGCAACCACACACGAGCCATACGGAAAAAACATCACTCACTGAGAGGCAGGTTCATCCAGCTGACGAGTCCTAAATAAGATGAAACGTGCTTCCTGGACTCTATTGTTAGCCACTGTCCATCATTAATACCAAACCTTATGGGGAATGACTGATTTCGAGGTGGTATTAATCCTGGACTAAGTGCACATGGCTGAGGAGTCCCATGTTAGGATGAAACAGCTGTTTGCTGGCGTCGCCAGCTGATGTCAGTTCGTGGTGAATACTACCCTGAAGAAAGACTGATCTTTTACTCATGAAGTAACTGAAATTTATAAAGCAAACAATGTGAGCGAAGAAATATTTCTTTTCAATTAGTTCCTCATCAATGGCTTTACACTAATATAGCATTTTCAAACGTAGAATTACATACCAATCTAGTGGTGAGAGTTTTTCAATGAAAGGTTATCAATCTCAAAGTATCAAGAAGATGATAATTAATCAGGTAATTAAGACAGCTAACTAAAGCAAAGATTAATTATCGTAGAAAGATTTTGTGAATAGGTTCTTACATAATTGATATTTTGTTTAATGATAACTAAAGAGCGAAAATGAACTTTTATGTAAAATGGTAAATTGTTGACGGTAATTAGAGACAGTAGGGGGAGTTAATAATAATAATAATAATAATGGAGCTATTAAAATATTAGTTATAGTGAATTGTGTGGTGGATGAAATGAAGAGTCTTGTTGTAATAAATGAGCTATACAGATGGCCAAGGCAAAGAAAGAGGCTGTACGAATCTCTTCTGAACACACAGACTTGGCTTGTGTAGGTGGATTCCTATGGCTTCTGCTGTATGTAAAAGACGAACTCGTAGAGGATGGGTGAGGTGAGAAGGAATGTGGTGAATAACTTTAAAGGCATTATGAATGTTAACTCGGTGGCCGGTGTCAATCAGATGAGAGAGTATTGAGCTTCGTGTCAATCTGGTTTCCCCCTTACTTAGCCATGAAGGATGATGCTCGGAGATTCGACGACGGACTTGCCTAACTGTACGTTCAATGTAACTAGCTCCACAGGAGCAGTTGAACTGGTAAATGCACATAGAAGAGGAGAAGTCAGGTAGTCTGTTGTTAGTTCGTGTGGTCATCATCGGCCTGCTGTAGAAAACACAACATAACTTGGCGGCATTAAATGATCTTCTTATGGCATTTCTTAAGCGTTTTGTCACAATTTTGCTGATGATGTCATCTCGAAATTGTAGTCTTAGGAACAATGGTTTCTTGGAGACTGTAGGCATTCCGGTTTTCATATTGGATGTGTTCATATTTTTAGCCATTGATGAGGAACTAATTGAAAAGAAATATTTCTTCGCTCACATTGTTTGTTTTACTAAATGTCTAAATGGGAATTTTCGTATTACTGAAATTTATAAGCTTTTATTGACTTTTATTATCATAAATGTGCACCCCTAAGCGTTGATGCCACTGAATTATCTCTCATTTAAAAATTAAATGTCTCACTTAGCTTATTCATATTCTAACAATAACTTTTAGATACAGTTGTAGTGTTTATTGTTTTTCAGTTTCTGGTTAGTAACTTACTTTGTTGTGTTATCTGCCAAATTCCAACATCTGGATTACACGGGGGAGGACAGTTAGGTCGAAGAAATTGATCAATAACATTCGAAAGTTTCCATCTATAATTTAATGAATTCGCAGGTCTAGCTGGCCATATCTCTACAGGTTGAGTAACTGAAGACTGAATTGGAGGTAAGATACGTAGACGAACACGATGATTATGCTGAAAAGATTTATCACGTTTTACAGTTTCAAACCAATCCTGTACTTCTACAGTGAAACCGATTGCTATCGGAGTTTTCTGGTCAACAGAATGAATCAGAAGCCTAAAATTGTGAAAAGAAATAAAAAGTAAGACACATTATTCAACTCATTAGTTTATCAAGTCAGTGCTTCTATGTGATGGATGGTTGAGAGAGTTGGTGTGTTACGAAAAGCACTTCCAACAAAATACAGACATACGTGATCAACAGCTGTCGCCACCTACGCTCACTCCATACTGACACTGAAGATCAGATCAGATGACCAGAATAATGAGAATATGCAACAAGGAACTCACTCTGACTGGCAACGAAGCAATTAACCAACGAGGAAGCTATCATCCAACAAATATGTAGGAGAGGAAAGTTGAGATGGATTGGATTGGATTGGGTATAGATTGAGAAGACAATTTGGGGACATCACGAATCAGGCCATACCAGGCATTCAAGTGGAAGCTGAATGGGAAACGACGAGTTGGTCGTGTGAGCTGATGGTGATATGGAGGAGATCATGTTAGGAAGAAACGAAAGCTTGGGGGGGGGAGGCAGTGGTGGAGCCATGTTGAGAAGACTACAGATAAGAGAGTGAAATGATAATTTGCTGCTGAAGCCCTATGTTGTACTAGGAACCCCGTAAGGATAAATAATACTAATATATATTATCATGTATAGACTGTGAGATGTGATTTATCACCATTTACTATTTAGTCAGTCGATAACTTGTAGAGAAGTGACAATTAACAATAATCATAGTAATTTTTTTAGAAGATTGATTCTACGGTATTTTATCTACTACTGAGTGGTTACGGTAGGAGAATTATTGGAAATATAACAGCATGTGACTTGACGAATCTAGATTTCGCTTTTTCTCCTTATTTCATAATATGAAGTTTGAAGAAATGAACAGACACATTTTTGTGGGGTTCTGTGCTGAACTGTATTGTAGTCAATATGCCAAGTTACTTAACATCTCAATGGACTTAGTAGTACCTAGTTGGTTCAGTAAGCCATACTTATCGCAGAGTTCGCACCGACTAGCACGGAGTACCTTCTAGATCCTTAAGATATTCAAAATGTCTACATTGGGTGCCATAATCAAGAGTTTCAGTACTACAAGTTACTGTCAGAGTCTTTAGAAATCAGTAAAGTTTCTCCTTTTTTAATCTTTTCAACTCTCCTTGCACCCTTGCAGTTTAGTTGCCACAGTAATAGACCATTAATCTGTCAGCAACTGATTTGGATCCTGTCGAGATTCTAGTTTTTATTTCATACTAATTCATCATTTTGTATCACCTATGCCACATTGTCAAATAACAGGTATCTCAAGGTGTTTCATCAATAAAGTAAAATCCTATATGCTAGAAAAACTCTGAGTACATACCTACCTATGCTGTCTAAAAACTGTAAATTCATCCTTACCTTTGGATATTTCTATGACAATCTGTATGCAGATTTTTATTGTCTAACGTTTCCTGTTTTATGGAACTTATCCATAATTATTGACCTAGTGACTTTTATTTCTTTGATATACTTACTTGAATAAGACTCTTTAGGAAGGCTAAGATGAGAATTCTATTTTGCTTTTCCGTCTTCTTCATAAAAGTATATAGAGACAGTAAGAAAGGCCGAAAGAATAATAACTAAACACGAAAGCTGTAACAAACAAAAGAATTCTTCTCTCTTATATAAAATAATTATGATTTTTGTGCTGGGCAATTGTTATTATTTGAATGCTTAGTTGAGTTCATAAATTACTTGGCTGCGGCTACCAGAGGAAGCCAGGACGTGGATTTAATTCTACTTGGAACTCACTCGTCAGCTGGATGTACCCTGCACCGCATTCAGTAGTGTCTTTCCCGCCTCACATGAATAGTTGATGAGATAAAAATTAGACTGCATTACATTTCGGTTGGGCTCAGTTTTATGCGTAAATTTGATTAGATGATTGACGTAGGAAATTAGTGACTTTAGAGAGGTTAATAAAGGGAAGAAATCAAGATAACTGATAACTTTACATTGATTGGTCACTGGGGAGGAACCGATTTCATGTTGTCTAGTCCTGACTTCTGACCGAATTCTGTCGAACATTTTGCAATATAGCCATTGGGTTTGGAGGCTCACCATCACGACACACTGAGATTGATGTTAGTTGGATGGAGACAGTCGGCAGGAAGCCCTGTACCTGGGTTTCGTGCTTGTTGGCACTCATTAACAAGGGGTATCTGTAACCTCGAGGGAACTGAAATCCCCTCTGAGATTCAAACCCTAGCTTGATTGTAACATTGCAAAATGACCTATTGAATTCTGCCAGCACTAAGGACTAGACAACGTGAGGTCGGTTTCTCTCCTCTGACCAATCAACGTATCTGATCTAGTCCGGATAGTCCGGATAGCTCAATGGTAATGGTACTTACACTGGCTGATACGGGTTCGAATCCTGGTGGGGACATCAGTTCCTTGAAAGTTGTAGGTGCATCTTGCCGACGAGTGCCAGCAAATGCGAAACTTATATAGAGCATGGCTTTCTACCGATTTCCTCTGACCATTTAACAACTGATAGCTGTAAAGTAGTCAATAACTGAAGAATAATAACTGTCATTTCATTCACTCTCCAGTGGTTAACAGATCTAGTTATTCAAGCTTACAGGTTGTGCATCAGAATAAATGACAATCGGTTAAACTTGCAGTAAGATAGCTAAAGGTCTCTGGCCTAATTTACATGCAGTAGCTGTTATCAACTTAGTGTATCCGTGATGTTAAGCGAGGTCGTGATCCACATTATGTATGGTTGTTTTGTATGAGTAGTATTTGTGCAATACTACTGATAAGATGAAGTTTGGGCTAAGCTTCCTGTTTCATAATCACTTAGATAACAACCGTATATGCTGCATAAGGTATAAAACTTAATCAGAAAGTGTACTATGCCACAGTAACTAAAGTCACCTCTATATTTAGGAATTTCAGGTGTTCAAACTCTCAATACTGATTTTCACCCCGAGAAATTTCAGTGGGGTTTTCATTTTACTACCAAAAGAGTGTGAGACAGGATAAGGTACAAATCACAAAGAAATTCAAGTAGTTACAAAGATCTAGAATTCATATTTATATCTGGAAAAAAATCGACCTTAATGGCAAGTTTATTGACTTTTTGCAAGTTGCTGTAATATGGAATGCATAAGGCCTAATATCATAGATGTACAATCCATAAACACTGAATCATCAATCAAGTTCACAGTAGTGTGTTGACAGAAAATATTTCAAAAAATGACTTGCATACTGAGATGCTAAGTTCTAAGTACTCTGGAAAACTATACTTTTTGTAGTCTTCACTATAATCCCTCACGCAATCAGTATGAGTAAAAACGCTAACCTGAAAACTGGAGATAAGACAACTATCGTGTACTGTTTAAGAAACGTGGTTGCAGTCTAGTGATTAGCAAAGTTGAATTACGTCTGAAAATTTAGCCAACCCTTGTTGTAATGATCATATTTCTCATCATTTTAACATTCAAAATCTTATTATCCCGATTATGATGACTAAAAAACCCCTTATAATCTAGCTTTCAACGTATGCTTCATCACAGGAGATCATTGCTTTACGAAAAATTAACTTCGATTTTTTTACTTGGTTGTGGCTTACGGAGGAATTTAGGGCACGCGTTCCCTCCTATTTACGACTTGTCAGCTGAATGTACTTAAACCCCAGTGAGTGATGTCATGCCCACTGAAATTCGAACCCCGTATCCAGCACTTCAAACACCAAGGCGTTATCCACTATGCTACAGAGGCAAGATAACCACTTCTTGCATAACGGATATTAGTCATTACTATTTATTGATATACTTGTGATTCTCCGTTGTTTTATTGGATCTAATTGTTCGATCTGGATTGACATATGGGCCTTTATACGGGTGCCTCGGTATTGTGTGAATGTTAATTATGGTAATTAACTTGAAGTGATGGGCACGAGGTTCGAGTCTCTCAGTGGGAACAACATCACTCACTGGGGTGCAGGTACATCCGGCAGACGAGTCCGGAGTAGGAAAAAACATGCCTTCTCTGCTAGCTACAACCAAGCAGTTTATCATAATTAATATTCAGGCAATATTGAGGCATCCGCATAGGAGTCCATATGCTAATAGAGGTCGAAAAATTGGGTCCAGTTAAACGACCGAGAATCACAAGCATATCAGTAAATAGTAATAACTTCCATTTTATTGCTAGTCTTCTTTCACACAGTGTCACGAAGATTTCCAGTTATTACACTATTGAACTTTCATATATGCGCTCTGTTATATGGGCTTTGGTTTAACTGGTTCCTGTACTTGACTATCAACCAGTGGGTCACCAATTTCAACAACACTGCACCAATCAATATATCGGCTGTCTCCCAGTATCATTAGCCGTCACAGATCAGGCGTGTTTCATTGCCTATAAGACTTACGTACACATGGTTGCCAAGCACATTCAGATTTCTTTTATTCGACCTCAAAAAAGCATTCAAAAATGATTGAACAGTGCGTAAAAGAGATTGATTAATACAGGGATGAGATCATGACACATAATTCACATCAATGAAGGTTCTAGCCTTCCATTGATGGATACTGATACCTCAGAATGTGGCCACCTGACTATTTGATATAATATAAATCTAAGGTGTTGATATTTGTTAAAAAGAATCTATTCGTAGCAAAATTTGACTACAGAATATTGAATTTCCTCCGAAGTAAACCTCTTAACTTCTTAGTCTGAGTATAATCAAAGAGCTACATGAAGTTAGAGATTCTGGATTTTGGCCAGCTATCTGTTAATCACAAGACTTTAGTGAAGTTAGCAAGATATCAGTGACAAACACTGAACTTGACGATGAAGCATCAACTGTTGTACTACCATTTAAATAATTATACACAAGTCAGTAGATAGATTAGATTGAACATACTTCGGTGTAATACTTTTGACAAAATGTTGGTAGAGAAATCTTGAAGTAATGCCAACATATAAGGTTTTGTGTTCAATCTAATATTCATGTCGTCTGGCGGCTAGCAAAGACTAGTTTATATTCACAT